ATAATTTGAGGAGACTCTCTGGAAGCAGTTTAAGCAGTAAGCATTGCAGTAAGCTTTGGTATTACTATGTCTATCTCCCATGTTAACATTAGTGTAGGACCCACTGATATTGGGCTACTATGATACAGTGGTAGGTGATTTTAAGTAGCCTTGTAATATTTACATGTTGTTTTTTTTTGTGTGTGTGCGTTGTCCTTTAATCTGTATTCTGGCTAGTGAGACTACCAGATGTCACGTTACACATCTGGCAGCTAAGAGGTTAAGCTTTGTATGTGCAGTGTTACAAAGCAAAATACTGCATTCACACACTTCAGGCACCATGACCACTTCAAATTAATATAGTGATCATGGTGCATGGAGTAACCCTTTAATAAGGGATCAATGGATATCTCACACTAATTTTTCCTTCATATTTTTATCTAAGTTATCATTATTATTCTGTTAAAATTCGAAACTAATGTGAAAATTTCTTCCAAGCTACCCAACCCTATGTCAGAATTTGGAAATGGATTTTAATAGGCTCTTGTTCAAATCAGTTCAAAAGTGGGTTTTGATATTTTGGAGAATAGTAAATTAAGTGAACATCTTCTCACATTTTGCCTTTTAATTGGTGCTAGTAAAGTACTCAGGTTTTCTTTTACAAATTTTAAATGAATTTTAGGAATTTAGTCAATAATCCCATATTTATTTGTGGACAATATTAGTTAACATACTTGCTGTTCGATATTTTAAAAAAAAGGTATACTTCATTCCTAAAAAAAAATAGAAAGATAAATTAAATCAATCGATAATAATCAATTAGTCTATATTAATTTCCCATTTTCATATGTTATTACATATAGCAGGCCCCCTGACTGTTTCTGATTGTAAAATGTATTTTAGAATTGAATTATAATACATTCTTATTAAATCAGTAATATAACGGGATTATGACGAATCTGGAAATCACCTGCATACAGCGAATCCCAAGTAACGGATTGAGAAATGCACTATAGCCGTAGCCTAGCAACAGAGTAGCTCTATTTTCAAAGCTCTTTCCCGAGCATGTGCCAGGCTTAAACTGGAGCACAGTGCATAAATGTAGACGATTCCTATTCATTGCATATCTGGCAAGAAATATTATACCTGTTACACTTGGGACTTGACACATCTAGGGTTGCAGCTATGAGCATGCAAAATAATGTGTAGCCGTATTTAAATAAAAATAAATTTCTCATCTTGCATGCAGAGAAACTCACTAATTACCTTAGACAACATTCAACGAACAAAAATAAATTACATCAGCAAATGAAAAATAATGGTGCAAACAGTAAAAGGAATACCATTGTAATAAAATTAATTGCTTCCAATAATTTTTGCATAATTGTTTTACTTTCAGAGAAGTAAATTGCTGCTCTTAGCGAGAAAATAGTTGTAACAAAAAATTATACACACACACAAAAGCACACACAACTGAAAACACACACACAGACACACACCTGAAAATACACACACACACACACCTGCAAATTCACATTCACACACACACACCTGAAAATACACACACCTGAAAATACACACACACGCCTGAAAAGGAGATATTTCTCTACATCGCTGATAAATAACCTCTTTTATTTTTGCCTTCCTTCCATGGTTTCTGCTGCCTTGGAATGACCTATAAAAAGCCTGCAGGAATATTTATTTAGTGAGACTTTGGGAATTGAAAATTCCCTTGTGTGTTTGATTGTATCCATAAGTATTGTATGTGCTCCATCATTCTGTGGGGAGGTCACAGTATCTCATAACACGTCTCCTGTGCTGCTCTCTGTCTCCCTAATTACCACTGAGTGTTCAGCAAGAATATAGATAAAGCAACGAAAGGTGGAATTTTTAATAATTTTTTTCTGTCTTATTACATTTACCAATACTAAGTTTCTCACCAAAATATATTAGGTGTTTAGTTTTCAAAATTGTAATTAGCATTTTATGCAAATACAATAAAGCAAGTACAATTACTAGATTTATATATTAAAAAGGTTAATTGCATGAAGGAATTCATTTTGGGTTTAAGGTGCTGCCTTTGGGATTCTTTTGTAAGTGAACAGAACTAAATTCATCTCACCATTAGATTTCATGACAAGAAGACCCTGCCTTACAGACAGGGCTAATTAGATATTCCACAGTATAATATATAGTCATACAGAACAATCTTACTAGTTATATCACATTTTCAAATTGTGTTTCTGAAAAAAAAAATAATAATAAATGTATTTTAAAAAGGAAATGTTAGTTTTTATACTTTTAATAAATGTATCATGCAAAAAAAAAAAAAAAAAAATGACACCTACTTCTACATATAATGAAATATGCTTGATATAATATATTATATATGTGAAGCAATGTGCAGAGAGAATGGGGGAAAACAAAAATACACCAAAATACAAAAAAATTTAACAACATTTAAAAAAACAAAAAAAAACCAAGAAAAACTAAACTTTAAATGTGCAGTGTATCAAGTGGAAAATTTAAACGTACAGACACCTTCTCCATGGCCACTTCAAAAAGTAGAAGTGGTCATGGAGGCTGGTTTAACCCTTTAGTTAAGCAGTTTGGTGTATGTATCATGCCTTTGCAGTCTCATTGCTCAATTATATGCTATTTAGGAATTAAGTCACTTTTGTTTCTGTTTATGCAGCCCTAGCCACAATTCCGCTGGCTGTGAAAAAATTGTTTCATGTTCAAAGTTCAATCAGATTTGAGAGATTACTTTAGAAGTTTTTAGCTCCTGCTCTGTTACTTGAATTTTAATCACACAAAGGAGAACTCTGAAACTCTAGCAGGCTATTAAAAGAGCGGGGGATAAGAAGATCTAAATTAAACAGACTGCAATAAAGGAAGTTTAACCATTAGTTCTTTCTTTACAGGAAATGTGTAGGGACAGGGCCAATCCTGGTGAGGGCACTGAGAGGAGCCCTGTCACAGGGTGCCCAGGAGGAATAATAAACCGCGTGCAGGAGTGAGAGACTGCAAGATTAGAGTCCCACACTGAACCTCAAGGAGAGGTAGGGAGGCTGGATGGGACTCAAAATATAAAATAATTTGTGAGAGTGTGGTGCAAGAATGTGTGAGTGTGTGTCTGTCAGTGAGTGAGTGTCAGTGAGTATGTTTGTCAGTGAGTCCGTCTGTCAGTGAGTGTGTGTGTCTGTCAGTGAGTGTGTGTCGGTCTATCAGGGAGTGTGTATGTCTGTCTGTTGGTGGGGATGTGTGTATGTCAGTCAGTAAGGGTGAGTGTGTGTGCCTGTCAGTGAGTTTGTGTGCCTGTCAGTGAGTGTGTGTTTCTGTGAATGAGTGTGTATGTCTGTCGGTAAGTGTGTGTGTCTGTCAATGAGTGTGTGGCTGTCAGTAAGTGTGTGTGTGTGTTAGTGACAGTGTGTGACGCTACTCACCCATGTTACACCATATTGTATGTCTGTCATTGAGAGTGTGTGCCTGCCAGTGTGCGTCTGTCAGTGTGTCTCTCTCTCTCAGTGAGAGTATGTAACTGTCAGTGAGTGTGTGTCTGACTAGCAAAATGGGTGGGGCTTATATATGGAGAGGTGGAGTAGAAACATGAATGTCTGGATATTTGCAAAGGGGAGGAGTTAGTAAGATGATCACACCCACATAGGGGGGCCAAAGAAATTTCTGCACCAAGGCGTCTGTCACCCTTGGATCGGCCCTGTGCAGGGAGACTGTATGAGTTACATGTAGTGAACTATGGATAGGGCTGCATAAACAAAGTGATTTAACTCCTAACTGGCAGAGAACTTTGCAGTTAGACTCCAAGGGCATGATCCAACTAAACAACAACATATGTGTGCTTTACCTGGTGCTATGGCACACTACTGAAAAAATGTCCATTTAAGCAAGAACTCTAGGGTATTTGATGTCAAAAAAGGTTTATTTTCTTGATATTCCAAAAATGACATGCTAAAAGTCAAAGAGGTCGATGTTTCAGTTCTAAGCAAAAACTTTCATTAGGACACTATGTCGTTTTTGGAATACCAATAAAAGAAAGCTTTTTTACATTGAGTATCCTGGAGTACTGGTTCAATATGGACATTTATTGAAATCCGCACAAAATTGTGGTTGTTTAGTTGGAGTGCAAGTCCATTTGTATTTTTTTTATACCGCGATCATCCCGGTTTTATGTCCCAAAAAGTTTCTCAGGGCGCATAAATGTCCCGTTTTATTTATTTATTTATTTTACTAATAGCAGCCCAAATTTTATCAAAGAGCTTCTGGCTTCTAAAATGCTGTATCTATCAAAATAAATGTGTCAGACTGCAGACCCCTCCGTCCTTAAGATAGAGGGGTTCCCTGACGCATCCTCTCCTCCTGCCTCTGTACTGCTGGCAATGGGCCCATCCTGTGCTTGATGCTATGCAGATTGTGCTGATTTCCAGCCAATAAGAAACCACACTGCATTGTGATGTCATGCCGCAATGTCATCCCCTCCCTTCAGTCCCCCTCCTGCGATGGATAAAAGGGGGGAAGGATCTAAAAGCAAAAGCAGAATGGAGAATGGAGGGAAAAGTAACAGAGCATAATGGACAGAAAAGGAAAGGAGAGAAAGGTACAGGAGCAAAAAGGAGAGAAAAGTAAAGAAGCAAAAAAGGAGAGAAAGGTAAAGTAGAGAAAAGTAAATGAGCAAAAAGAGGAGAAAAGTAAAGGAGCATCATGGGGAGAAAGGTAAAGGAGCAAAAAAAAAAAGAAAAGTAAATGAGCAGAATGGAGAAAAAAGTAAAAGAGCAAACAGTAGAGAAAAGTAAAGGAGCAGAATGGAGAAAAAGGTAAAAGAGCAAACAGTAGAGAAAAGTAAAGGAGCAGAATGGAGAGAAATAGAAAGGAGAAAAAGGTAAAGGAGCAAAAAGGAGAGAAAAGTAAAGGAGCTGGACGAGCATGGTGCAGGACGTACAGTAAACAAGCTCCGCACCCCCTGGCCGAAAAACAGCGAAAAACCAGCGACAACCTGGGAAATAATGGTCCGGACTAAGAAGCACTTAGCTCTAGAGTCAACAGGGGTTAGCTCCCCTCGTCGGTGCACGGGACTGATGGATGATTTTATTGCCACGCCGTCGGATTTCAGAGGACTGCAGCACGCGTCCAAGATGGCGCCCGCATCTCCAAGCTCGGAGAGCGCAGGGGAATCCCTGGCAGAGGATACTCAGGCAAGTGACTTAGCACGGATCCGGGCAGAACGTACCCAAATATCCGCTAAAATGCTATCCAAGGCGGACACAGGCTCCCTGGTCCAGGAACTCCGTGCGGTGCTACGCGAAAAACTTGCTGGCCTCCGTGCAGATCTGACTGCACTAGAACAACGAGTGGATGAAATGGAGACGTCGGCTCATGGCTGTGAGGAGCAGCACAGAGCGGCAGAGGTGGCTGTCACCAGACAGGGCAACATGCTCCTCACCTTACGCAGACAAGTGGAAGACTTGGAGAACAGGAGCAGGCGCAACAATATACGAATCCGCGGCCTACCAGAGACAGGTACAGAGCCGCTCCAAACCACGCTAACTGACCTATTCCGGCAGCTCCTTGGGGCACAAGCCCCTGAAATAATACAGCTTGAACGAGCGCACAGAGCCCTGGGACCGGTAAGGCAGGATGGCAGCCCCAGGGACGTGATATGCTGCATATCCACATGTGGACTGCGAGATAAGATAATGGCTGCCGCTAGGGAACTCCCCACCATCAGATACCGTGATGCGGAGGTCTCACTCTACCAAGACCTATCCCGCTTAACGCTGGACGCCAGGAGAGCCCTGCGCCCAGTGACGGGTGCCCTCCGGGACAAGAGGATCCCCTACCGCTGGGGCTTCCCCTTTAGCCTCCAGGCGAAACAAGGCAACGCCTGGCTGATGGCCCGCTGGCCAGAAGACATCCCGAGACTCCAAAGGACACTCGGCCTGCCTCAGACCAGAATCAGAAACTGGATCCTAGACGAAGCTATCACCTCCAGGAGAGACCCACTGGCACCAATGCGAGTACCGGACGCTGCACCTAGCCGAAATGACCCACCGCGCCGGAGAGGAGGTCCGGAAGGCCCGGAGGAGTAGCCTGGTCGATGCCTGGACAGGTAGACGGGGATCATGTGAGTCCTACACACACATTTGGGGACACGGAAGCCCACCTGCGAATGGGGACTTACGGGGGTAAAGGGGAATCAATCAGGACACTTGGGGAGGGGGGAAATGGGGGACCCTAAACCAAGCCACAACACAGGGCCTGCTAGCAGAGAAAGGGACACCCCCCACAAAGGGGGAGGGGGGGAAACAGAAATGAAACTAGACGCAATAGATCAATAGACGCAATAGACGCAATAGATCGTGAGACACAGAATGAAGTAAGCACAGACGGTTAAGCTTAACTGGGAAATGACAGGTGACAGGACGAGCTTTCCCCCACCTACACCTCGACACGGGACCGCTCCCCCGGGGTTCTGGGATTCGATGGGCTGAGCAGGGGCCCCCCCGCACTGACAGGCATACGACTAACGCTAACAAGACGGACCACATATAATCCACCGGTAACCTTATGCCTCCCGTAATGCCTGAGCGCTCAAGGTCAGGGGGGGAGGGATACAGATCACAACACTACAAGTTTGTCAATTAACCAACCCCAATAGACAGGGGTTCATATTTCCTGTTACAGTTACTTTTCCTTTATTAAATCACTGTAAATACACCTGGGGAATACACCCCAACACAAGTCGTGGACACAAGCTGAGTCCTGCGCTAGTGCTCCAAGGGACAAGTTTCCCCTAGATGGGCGCCCTTCCAAAACTGGTGAGTGGGGTGTGGGACACTTTCTCTTTGTTGGCCTACACGACGCCGCCACCACAGGTGCCAAGTCCCTGCGAGCCCACGCCAGGTTTGACACACTCTTTTCTTCCTACCCTTGCCCTCTCTTCCCGCCTCCCTCCCATCCCCACCACCCATATCACGAACCATGTGGACGGGGTTCGCGCCCGCGCCCCTCCATGTCTGGTCGGGTAACGTCCGGGGCCTGAACATACCCGAACGAAGATACCACCTGTTGCGCTCCTTATGGACCGAGCGGGTGTCAGTGGCATTCCTACAGGAAACCCACTTCCAAGGCAAGGAAGGCCCACAGCTGAGAGATACACGCTACCCAATGGGGTTTTTCGAAAATCACCAGACGGCCAAAAAGGCAGGAGTGGCGATCCTGTTCACAAACACGATACCGTTTGAGTGCACGGATACTATGGCGGACCCCATGGGGCGCTATCTATTTGCTAAAGGCACTATAGCCGGCTGTTCTTATACCTTCGCTAGCATCTATGCGCCTAACACTCGGCAAACCAGATTCATTAGAAAAACGCTACATAAACTAAAGTTATTCCGGGAGGGCTTCCTCATAGTGGCAGGTGACCTAAATGTTGCCCTAGAACCGAGGACTGGCACCTCCAAGGGGACTAGCTCTTTTCCGCCTCAGGGCCTTTGAGCAATACGTGAGACGCTATGAAGCTCCGGTCTCATGGATGGCTGGAGGGTGCTTCACCCAGGAGATAAGGACTTCACCTATTATTCCACGGTACACAAATTGTATAGCAGGCTGGACTATATATTGGTGGCCCAGGAAATCCTACCTATGCTCCTTTCGGCAGAGATACGACCCATGGGCTGGTCTGACCACTCCCCGGTGTCAGCAAAACTTAGATCCCCCTTGTATCGGCCTGGAGGATGAACGAGTCCATAATCAACGACGCACCAGTAAACGTGGAACTCCGATCAGCACTAATCACTTTCTTTGAGGAGAATGAATCCCCGGACATGCCAGCCCTGACGATAAGGGAAACACATAAATGCGTTATCCGAGGACAACCGATTAAAATATGCACCCAGCGGCAGAAGGCACAGCGACAACGAGTGACTGAACTGACTGCACGGATCTCGGTACTAGAAAACACACATAAGTCCACCCAGTCAGACGACGACTACAAAGCCCTACTAGAAGCCAGACAAGCGCTGAGAGACATTCTACACCGCAAACTACAACATACTATCCGTAAATCCCACCGTTTTTTCTATGAATACTCTGGCAAATGTGGCCGCCTCCTGGCCCGGACGCTCCAAAAGCAACGCCGACTGTGCCAAATCACTAAAATTAAAAACAGGGACCAGGTAGCCACACAGCTCCCTGACAAGATTGTAGACGCATTCCATGGTTTCTATAACGACTTGTATAACCTACCCCCAGACGGCGACGCGGACGACTAGGGAATTACCTGCAACAACATGTCATGAAAACCCTAAGCCAAGACGTGGCAGAAGGATTGGAAGCTCCAATTACATTAGAAGAACTCCAAGCTGCGTTGAAGGGCTCCAAACTAAACAAGGCCCCGGGCCCAGATGGATTACCGGTAAGATACATCAAAGAGTTCGGAGATGTGCTCCTGCCAAAATTACTCGCCGGACTCAACTCCCTACTAGATGGAGGGGTACTCCCCAGAGATGCCCTGTCGGCAACAATAGCAGTCATCCCAAAGGAAGGTAAAGACCCAACCAATTGTGCGAGCCACCGGCCAATCTCACTCCTGAACGCGGATCTGAAACTTTTCACGAAAGTCATAGCGACACGCATAGGGGGTGTGCTACCGGATTTGGTTCATCCCGATCAAGTGGGGTTCATCCCTGGCCGGGAAGCAAGAGACAACACCATATGAGCCCTAAACGTCATCCACGCAGTGAAGCGCTCTGCACAGAAGGTCCTTCTCCTTTCCACTGACGCGGAGAAGGCCTTCGATCGAGTGGACTGGCGATTCATGCTAGCTGCACTCCGAGCAATGGGCTTCGGCCCACATCTACTGGCGTGGATCTCCTCGCTGTATACGATCCCGTCGGCTAGGATACGGACCAATAGAGCTCTCTCTAAACCGGTACATATACGCAACGGGACGAGGCAGGGGTGCCCGCTGTCCCCCCTTCTGTTTGCCCTCTCCCTGGAACCCTTCCTGGGGGCGGTCAGACGGGATGGGGCATAGGGGGATTTACCCTACATGGACAGGAACATAAGGTGGCCGCGTATGCAGATGACATGCTGTTCTTCTTTAGCGAACCGTTGGTCTCCCTCCCGAACCTCTTGAGGGCCTTCGCTGAATATGGTCATTTATCCAACCTGAAATTGAACACGGATAAATCGGAGGCGCTCCCCGTCTCGACGGGAGAAGGGATGACTACCCACCTCAGGACCCAATACGCCTTTAAGTGGTGCCATGCCAAGCACAAATACCTAGGAATCTGGCTGACGGCAGACCTGGCCCAGCTGTACACACACAACTTTGTGCGGATGATACACAAGCTGGGTTCGGATCTGATACGGTGGGCAGGACTATGCGTCTTATGGATCGGGAGAATGAACGCAATTAAAATGAACCTCCTGCCCTGACTCCTGTACCTTTTCCAGACTATACCAATCAACAGCCCGAGGGCCTTCTTCCGAACAATGGACACAGCCATCACCAGATTTATATGGAAATCTAAGGCACCCAGACTGGCAAAACTACACCTCCACCTGCCCAAGGCACAAGGCGGGGTGGGTCTTCCTTCAATATTGGATTACTACAGGGCAACACATCTCCATAGAGTTGTGGACTGGCATGTGCCCAAAACTAGCAAACAATGGACACACATGGAACGGAGCCTAATGGATGGGTCGATCCCGGCCGTGGTGTGGCTAAGGGGCTCCTCGGCAGGGGCGCGCTCCCGCAACCACCCACTCATTGGGGCGACGCTACAAACCTGTTACTCCATAAGGACCAACCTAACACTGACCACCACCCCAGGACCACTGACGCCGATCACACACAACCCAGACCTAGAGGGCGGCCTTACACCAATGGATATCAAGGCCTTCGGACACTCGGACTGGACGTACATGCACCAGTGGTGCACAGGGGACTCGCTGAAACAACTACTAGACCTGATGCCAGAACGGATACCTTCGGGACTAGATAGATTTCGATATTTCCAAGCTAAAACCTACTATCAATCCCACTTCGGGAGGCACCTATTCCACAGGCCCCTGACAGAATTCGAACGACTTTGCACGGAACGCAAACACCTGTGCAGAGGAATCTCGTACCTCTACACACTGCTTCTGACCTCGTCGCAGCCCAAACCCCTTAAATACATTGCGCGATGGGAAGAAGCCTCAGGAGTCACACTGACGGACCCCCAGTGGACGAAAATCCATATCCTGACACATCAAAGCTCAATATGTTTCAAACAGCAGGAACTCAACTTTAAACTGCTGACCAACTGGTACAGGACGCCTGAGAGGATACATAAGATGATACCGGATGCCTCAGCGACCTGCTGGCGTTGTGAAACCGACCTCGGTTTCACAACGCCAGCAGGTCGCTGAGGCATCCGGGTACGGACCTGCATATATGGTGGTCCTGCAGAAACATAGCCCCATACTGGCAACAAATACATTCACAGATCAAAAACATCACAGACACGGATATCCCGCTTCAACCACTCCAGATGCTTCTTCACCACACCTCGCTACCTCTCTCGAAATACAAAAAATCATTAACTAAGCATTTACTTAACGCAGCCAAAATGCTTATCCCAGGGAGATGGCGAACCACGCAAATACCCACCCTCCAAGACTGGATGGACGGGGGCGGAGCCTGGCAGACATCCTGTTCAGACGCCATCTAAAACTGCTCTCCCGAACCCGGAGAGAATCTGCCAAATATCCATCAAACGAAGCCCCATTGAACCCCAACAAGCACCCAGCACTGACTGGCGATAAGTGGACCCGTGACCACCACGCTGCGCAAAGCAGGCATCGCCTACAGATGGGGGAACACTGGTGCCCTGCTTGTTCACCACAATGGAACTGCACACCACCTCACATCCCCAACTGGGGCCCCCGCCTTCTTGAGGACACTGGGACTACAACCCCCACATCTCACCTCCACGACCGCAGGTCGACCAGAGAGCTGGGACCCAGAGGACAGCCCTACTCCTGGACAGTCAACACGAGATCTACAGACTCTGGTCACTTGACTGGGCACGGGGACTGA